CTGTATCAGCCATGCCCTTAGTGGGAATTACACTATCAGTCAAACCCAAAATGGGAATAACATTATCAGCCACGCCCACAACAGGAATGACACTGCATCAGCCATGCCCATAGTGGGAATTACACTGCAATTCCAGCCATGCCAGACAGTGTTTTCTTCCTTCTGGAGGTCTAATTGGTTACATTTCTGGCAACACACCTGAATGAGGGCAGTTTTTAATCTCTAAACAGGGTGGATATTAATCACAAATGTAATCAAACATTTCAAAAGCTGAAATTGAATTTACAAATCTGCCCCCTACAGAAATCTGCAATTAACCAGTCCATGAACTTGGCTTGAGTAAAACCCAGAAGGCACAGTGTTCCTCCAGGACCAGGTTTGGGAAACATTGCCTTAGGCAATTAGAATGGGTGTTTGCTTTTCAAAATGGGATACTTACAACAAGGTTTACACATTTCCTGCAGGGTTACATGGAGTTAGAACTGGGGATGTCATGTTGTTAAAAATAAAGTGAAATAAAATGAAAATGGTGAACTTGAAAACATATTATCCCTTTTAACCTATAAGATATACCACACAAGATAAACATTCTTCAAGCATAACAAACACTCAAACTTCAAATGAATACACTAATTAATATACTAATATATTGTATATTGTACTAATATATAATCTGGTAATCCTTAACCAAATATTTTTGTAGATTACCAAACAGCTATTTTCTTAATCTTGCTATCAACCTTCATTTTCTCATCAAAGGGACTAGTGTAATTGTTACTCTTTGATCTCATGTTTGAATCTACTTTCTTCCTTAGTGTGATAAGGTGCTCCCAAGTGACTGGGCCGCCAAAGGCATCCGTCCACAGCTCCGGCTCTGGAGCCTATCGTTTGGCTTGAATCTGTGCCGTCTCATGCACTGACTGTGAGCCGGATTCACCAGGAGGCAGTGCACAGTTGGCCAGGCACTGCCCGGGCTGAGCTGGGTTTGAAACCTGGCGGGGTTGCCCTGCACTAGACCCCTGTGCTGCAAGACGAGCGTTTGCAAGCGTCCACAAGACCTTTACCAGTCCCCGTTCCGTATGACATAGCTGGTCAAAATTACTCCAACTGCCTGTGTTTCTTAAAAAAACAACCATGGTTTATACATTACGTTTATAAACATGGTTAACTGATCTTGGGGGGGCTTGGTACATACTTCCAATATGATTAAATGAAGAGGACTATTCTAAAAGTAGGGACTAACAGCCCACTGGAAGCTCAGCAGGTGTTCAGAACACAGCACAGCAAATATAGTGTGATGTGAGGCCAACACAGAATGTCTGGAAATAATTATGGAAAATTATTTAGAAATGTTTCATTATGTAACAAATCTGATGTTATTTAGATGTTAGGATGCTACAGATCAGTGATGGAAAAATAAAATGACTTTCTCCACCTAAATCCAGGAATATCAAAGCTTAATTTCCTGTTTATTATCACCCCTGAAGTGTCATTTATCATTTCCACTATCTGGCCTGCTGTTGCTGAATGTGCTTGTGTGTTACTTGCTGTTGCCCCCGGTGACAGCAGCACTGTGACTCCCCAGGAGAGACCCACTGGGACAAAGCCGACAGCATGTACATTGGTCTTCTCATAATCCTTCACAACCCTGAGCAGGAGAAGATATGATCCACGCTTCAAGAAAAAAGCAGTTTGTTCGCAGCCCTACGCAGTACATCTACACACAGAATTTCCTGAGGAACAACATTGCTATCGTCAACTGGAAGGTTATTCTACAATGGATGGAAAAACTCCAATGGAAACTCAGCACCTAGAATTAAAGTAGGAAAACTGATTCATGGTGCTTCTACACCTTCAAGTCTAGATGTCAGTCTTCTGCCTGACCATCACCAACAGGTCCTGTGCTTGAGGCTTGAGGTTGAGCCACCAGTCGCAGAGAAGTTTGTGTCCGCAGCATATGATTTGTGTTGACACAACAGACCATTTCACACTGGCATGCTCTTCCTGAAGCAGGGGATCATACAGTACCTGTGGTGACCAGGTGGCAGGGTCAGGTACTGCACTATATCTGGTTTCACGCTGCAGTTTACCTTCTCCTACTTCTTTCAGGAAATTTTCAAGAAATGTTTTGTTCCCATCCAGTTAAACTGAACACCCCTCTCTGAACTTGATGGCTATCTCAGATGTTAATGTGCAGAGAATTCCTACAGTGACTGCTACATAATATGTTAAACTGTAAATAAAAATGGCATGGTTTTCAATTGCTTTCCATTTATTACAGGAGCAACACAGAAGTACTTCCAAAGATGTGTGCAGTTACTTACCACATTTGCTGTGAGCAAATAACTAGCAGTTTTTAAAATGATCAAAAAAAGGTTCCTATAAAAATGTGTTAGTTTCACCTTGGCTGATGAGCTAAAAGATTATTTAAATTATCAATTTCCAGTGGTCCACTCACTGAAAGAAACCTCACCCCAATACTGTAACAAAAAAGTATGATTTGCATTTTAACACCACAGATTATTTAACTTGGGTTTGGTTTCCAGATTTTTTATAAGAAACATGAGAAACAATCTTCATTTGTTCTTCGCTTCTGAACATGACCTGGATCCTGTCCACTCCAGCCCAGACTTGTGCTTTTACATCTCCGATAGTTCAGCCTGGATCATATAACCTGGGACTGAGCCTGTTCTGGAATACCAGTGTATAAATCCATGACAATAGTGTTCATTTTAAAATCTCGGGCTCTGCTCAAGTTGCTTGGCCTGCCTAGTGGTTCAGCTGATAAAGGAGTGCATTTAGGCTCAGGTTGAGCTGTACTGTCACGGGTTCAAGGCCAGGAAATGTCAGTGGACTTGACTTTTCCGAAGCAGCGATGCACAATTTGAGTTCTCATGACAGGAGGGAAGTGATTTGTGGACAAGATAATTAGATTAGATGACAGTAGCGACCCCAGTGGCGACCGATGTGTTTGCAGGCATGTGGTGATGTCAGTGAGGAAGGCATCCCACCACCAATCAGAGCTACACTTCCAGTATGACACTGTGATGCCTGTGACCTGTTACAAGGCGAGTGTTTCGAAGGTGGGCAGATCTTCAGAATCTTTCCACCCTTTCTCATTCACCCCTGAATGTTTAAAAACCATGAGCCAAGATACATAAAACACATGAATCTTCCAAATCAGGAAGGGTACTGTATAACAAACATAACTGGCGACAATCAAGTTGTTCTGCAGGTAATTCCATTTTTTTTTAATTATTCCAAATATCTGACAACTTTTGGAGGCTAGATTTGTGGCGATCTGAGATTGGCAGTTCCTCTCAGTCTACTTGAGGAGCTGTGGGGGCCAGCTCAGCGAGAGGACTCAATTAAACACGCCTAATTGCTCCGGCATAAAGTACAATCTGGCTGGCTGTTCCACTGTTGCCTCAGCAGTTGGGCTCCGCATTAAGGGCTTAGCTGAAAAGAGTGGCGATTGTGTGCTCTAATCCTGTAAGAGCAGAAGCCTTTTGGAGCCAAGCCTCCCTCTTTTTCCCTTGTTCAGGAAAACGACTGATCCATTGAGGGATGACTGGTTTTTGAAAGAGCTCTGTCCTGGGCTGAAGACTATGGAACTCCCTGCCTGAGTAATGGACATTGATCTCTGTTTTTAACCAATCAGTTTACTTTGAAATTCGTGGCAGTCATCCAATGCTGTTAAAAAAGGTTCTCCACACCACCACATATTTCAGGACAAGCTGGAGACATCTTTAAATGCAAATGTTTTAAATTTATAAGGAGCATCAAACATCAAACTACCTTATTTTCAGTCACCACATAAGATTGTCTATTAAACTACACTACCCCTAAAACTGACATTTTATAGAGAAGTGACCTACACTGTTAGGAAAGCACACAAACATGCTGCAGTTCAGAAAAAGGAAAACTGGCTTCTAGTCAGAATGCTGTTGTAGACAAGCAAGTTATTACTAGAAACAGGCCCTACTGATTCTCCTTGGAGTTTCCAATGGGACAGACACATTCCCAACTATCTGAACCTGGCTTGAACAGTCAGTGCTGTGGACAAGTTCATAGCAACAATGCCTGGCAGGGAGAGGAGAACCAGGGAAATGTACTTGGATGGGGAAACTGTAAGCACTGTGTGGTACTACTTTAGGCTAATGGAAAATAAGTCAATACCGAGAACTTTCAGAATCTATTTTTCCAATTTTTTTCCAAATATAGCCCAATTTTTCAAACTATAATTGGATATATACAAATTACCACACTCAGCTAGATGGGCTGGGAGGCCTGCTCCCATTTTTAACTGTTCATTTTTAACAAAAATAATTGATTTGATTGTACTTTAATTTGTACAATTATTGCATTTTAACTCGGACAATCTTTGCACAATAAAGTTAAAGTATTTATATATGTTATACTTAGGTAATGCAGGAGTGAACAAATGAAAGGTAATTCATTTAGGTAAAACCTTTAGGATAGCCTATATTTAACACATTATATAATCTGTGAATGTCATCAACACTACTGACTTGAGGTAAACAGTGAATGCAAGCATAACAACAAAAAAGGAGAGAGACTTGTAAAACAGTTCACTTTTATGATTGAAAATTCCACAACAGAAGGACTAAAATGGCAGCCAGAAACAACACACATAATGTACACTCAGCCTGAAGGCTCTTGCCGAAAGACGTCTCATTCTCTCTCCCTGCACTCCTCAGCTGAAAGGCTGCTCTCCCCAGTGACCTCATGACAGTCTCTCCTGTCATTTTCCCATGTGTACAAACACCCCAAACCACCCCACTTTCCAAAAATATCTCCAGAGAACAACCAGGCCAACCAGAATTGGCCCTAGCCATGCATGCCTAATTACAGCGCTCTCTAATGCACAGCAGTTGGGCTCTGACTGTATTTACTCAACTTGCGTTTGAACTTCTTAAACAGAAAAATATGTTTCTTTTATTCTCTCTGCCTCTCTTCTATAGTTCTCACAGTTTACACAAGAAGCTGTCCCGCTCTTTTAGTTGAATGTGCAAGTTAAGAGGAAACCTTTACTTTTGTTTTTCTTCAGTTCCAGTGAAACCCTACCTCACTTTTAGCATTAACAAATGGATTTCCCACACTATTGTAGTCAATCTATACTGCGGCACATGGCTTCTAGGCATTAACAACTGGCACATTTTAAGGGAATAAAAGAAAACAGTTAAATCCAGACTTAGACCTTGAATGTTTTACCATGTCTGCAAAGTATCAGCTTCCAAACTGCAAACTTCAGATATTTTTACACCTGAAGTATAGATCAGCACAGCTCTTCAAACGAGCTCTCATGAAGGGATACAGAAGCTTGGAGTAGAAAGGCGACTCAGTGATGCTGAAGAGCTCAGATGTAATGCTGTCAGAATTACAGTATGACAATCCCAAGAATTAAGCATTTGCACACTGAGAAATCATTCCACCTTTTTTCTATTCTACTGCACTGAGTGTGGAGAAAAAGAACATCCAGCTAGGCAATGCATTACTTGAAAAAAAGGATAAACAAAAACAGCACTCCAGGTACTCAGTGACCCTTGCTGTAAACATCCTGCAGGAGACAGAATTCCACCTGCTCTTTGCGTTAAAACTGTCACATTGATCCAACTTCAGATCACTACTCTCTCCAGACAGACCGGCAGTGCACACAAACCCCATTTCAGCACGTTCGGAGATATGAAGAAAGGGTGGGCTTGTAACTGAGCTCACTGTAGAACTATCCAACACAGATACAGTAGTTGAGCGTTATACAAATTTAAAGATGGTGGTCTTCTGGAAAAAGCTGTCACGCAACATTGTTGAAGCTGATTCCATGAGATCTTTCAGAACTTGTCAGGGATCCTTGGATCAAGAAGCTGCTAGTATACTATTAATGACGCAAATGGGCCAAATGGGGTCCTGCCACAGGTCACTAGTGATGTATCTTGTCCAGAGAGCGTTCTGCGATCCTATCAGGAGTCCACTGGGAACAGAGGATGCTGACAGACAAAATTCTCACCTTGATGTTTCTGATTTGCACCACTTTGTTCTCAACCTGCACCGAGATCTGTCCCCCATCCGCACTCTCCCTGTGGAAAGCAAGAGAGAGGGAGTCAGACATCTGCCTTGGACAGCGACAAGGGCAGCCTGCACTGGCACAGACCCTGCTCCTGAAGCCAGTCCCGAAGCACTTTGGAATAACACAGATGCCTTAAGTGATGTATACAGTATCAGTTTTGCCACTTCTAATAGTTTTAAAACAATTTGTAATGCTGGTTGACTGAATTCTTAAGCCTTTCAGGGGTAAAAAAATCACTATTTGCCGGAAACTGAGTCACGCGTTTGCTGTTTTTCATTTTTCATTCTCACACAAAGAAAGCAGTATTCAGTGCTCTTAAATGTGCAGGATGTGCTCACTTTGTGTTTTGTAGGATCATGTTAGGGCTGTGCCACTAGACGATGTGGGGTTTGAAGCTACTTGCCCAGATGTATGAAAACATTTACATTTTATACAATTAATAATTATAAATTACCCAGAACAGCAAATTCTTCAAGCTTTTATCTAGGACCCCTATAAAGAACATAAAACAAGCTATAGTCTAGGATATTTAGACTTTTGTGAATATGACACTGTACAGTATGTTTACTCTAAGATACTGGAACATTAAAATTCAATTACAGTAAATTAGATAATTGAAGGAAAGCTAACTCTCGTCCTCCAGAGAGAGGATTTGGTAACCATTGATCTTCCAGTTTTTTCAAATCACTGTTGAAGTTCAGCTTGAAATGTAACCAAGACATAACACTGAAATCCAGTATTGACAGAAGAAACAACTCCCTCAAAAGCACACTAAATACAGGCCTGTCCTACAGAAATCGCCCACTCCCATTCACTGCTATTTGTGCTTGCTTACTGTGGCTTTGTATGGAAATCAACTGCCTATGGAAACTTTCTTTTCCTGTACACAACCCAATCGTATTCGTTCCCTATGCAAAATGTATCAGAACATGTTTCAAGACCCCAGAAGAAGAACATAATGTCACTCTCTGATGTCTCATACTGTATGAGTGCAAATAAGCAACAATAAAGGATATAGAAGTAAACAATGCTCCAAAGAATACGTTACTTTATCACAGGTGTTGGATACACGATTCATATTCATCCTTTTACACTAAAGAAAATAATCTCCCCTTTCTCATTGTTGCTTGGGGATAACTGCCAGAAAGAGGTGACCCACCCTAAAATATTAATCCCACTAAAATAGAGCAAAGTTCCCTGTTAAGGCAAGAACCTGCTGGAATCCATGAAATAATTGTTTATAACCCTGTTTGATACTCCTATTTGAGATTATTCATTCTCAAACCAAGTTTCAAGTTTCTTATTCGGTGAATCTATGTGTATACAGTACATATAGTACTGGGGGAAAAAACATACATGCATTTTGACTGCATTATTACATTTCTTTACTAAAGATATTAATTTCATTAATGCTGTTAATGTGCTCCTGCTATTTAGATTCCCTAGTAGTTGGACATTTCTCAAATAATGTGATATTGCTACACGGATGGCGAAGGGGTGGAACATTACAAATGCTGGCATCGAAAACAGCAGCTGAACTCGGATTAGGACCCGCTTAGTTTACATGGCAATGACCATGATAAACCACGATACAGGTCCTCAGACTTGTATCTGTCACAATAGAAGTCCTGAAAAAGATGCTTCCAAAGCATGAGATCATGACCTTGCACTACAATTAGCCCATATTTTAAACAATGAGAAAAGAGACCAATACAAAACCAGGGGCTGCAATCAGTCCATGAAACACAACTGTGGAACATAAAGCCTAGCCAAGTAAAGAACGAATACAACTTAATGACATATTGTACATTAAACTTGCCAATCATACACATGCAGAAGCCTACAAAAACTGTATACTCAAACTTCACAACACTGCCTACTGTATATATGTGGGGGGATTCTGCCAGCCACCAAACACAACAGGGAATACAAAGCCAACAATAACAGAAAGGCTATGCCTGATTGGAAACCAAACCAAAAGGAACATCTTGTGAAAAACACAGTGCAACTTTCCAAGATACAGGATGGGCTGTGAACAGGCTTACGTCTACGTTTGATCCTCGTATTATGGGAGCTCCAGAGTAAGCACTGAGAACTACACACAGATATTTCCTGCACAGCACAGCATGGGACATTCATCTTCTGTGTTGGTACCGAAATCCTAGTGTGACATGAGTACACCATAAAAGTGCTTTGTATGGGAAAGGCACATTGCAGCTATACTGCGAGAGATCTTTCCAAAAGCTTTCCTCAGTGAGACTGTACTCTCACATGAATTACATTTAGCTGCTGTTTTGTAAAAACAGATTTAAGCTCCTCTAACAAAACAGATAATTTTCTTTCTTCTTAAAGAAAATGAAATACGAAATTTCTACTGTTTTATAGACTTACAAAATTGATGCGGTCTCCCTTAAATATAATAATAATAATAATAATAATAATAATAATAATAATAAATATAAACTTCTGGCTCAAGTTCATCTATTCCAGAATGTTTTCACTACAGTTCCATAAATTGCCATGCATTAGAAGGCACTGGATGAAAAGATTTCTCATGTCTCAACTTCATGGCAACCATGAAGAGCTTCATGCTGCAAAACCAATTGCTTAAAAAACCCAATTGCATTGGGATTTTCAGTTACAAAAAACCATACAAATTGTTTAGAAAAAACAATTAACATTAAAGTATCTGGTCGTCTTTGTTCCTATTATAAACTAGTGAATCTACACACAAACAGATGTACTGTACATCTGACTTTGACCAAATCCAGGGCTGCTGTTATTCACAGGGAAAATGAGGACGCAGAGAGGAAAACCCTGGGAACGATCAGGAACTCCAGACCCATCTGATGCAATTGAGTGTAATCAGAGGAATGTCTGCAGTGCTGTGAAAAGTCAGTTCATACAGAAAAAAATTAATACGAGAGGAAGTGAGGATTTCATTCTCTTGGCCCTGCTATAAGACATTCAGTTTCACAGAAGTTCATAAAACTTTGCAATGTCCATTTGCCAGTTTCTCCTGTGTGCTTTTTTTCAGTCTGAAAACTGACATTTTCTCATTTAAAGCATCTGAATAACTCCAGAAATATTAATATCTTGCAATAAATAATTGCAATAAAAATTAATTGCAGTTACAGCAGGTTTAACAGTTTGACATACGATTCACATAAGCATACATTTTATGAAGACAAGTTTGTATATCTCATTGTGAAAATACAGTATGAGCATTAATAGTAGTTCGTCAGCTTTAATAATACACCACATATTTTTAATAGTGAATCTGTACTTCTAATGTTTTGCTTCCAGTCAGTGCTCCAGAAATACATGTACTATATGACCTGATACAACAGATACTGGTCAAGACAGACAACATTCCTAAGGATACTGCCCTTACATTCAGGGGGTAGTTTGCAGAATTTAGGAATTTAGATCATGCACAATGCTTATTTGCAGCCATATAGACTGTGCAGAGCTAATCAGTGAGTGACCTGCAGTATTCTATCCCTTCTCAGCTCATGTTGCTAAAGATTCTGACATTGTACAGTACATGGGGTGGCAGTTAAACATTTGATTTAATCTCCAAGTCAACTTCATTGCCACGCCATCAAATCTGTATCAGGCCAGGGAGGAACTGGGGTGTTCTCTCAAAGCACACACTCCACGCACACACAGCAGAGACATGAGCGCAGATTGATTTATGGGGAAAAAAAAAAGGTTCTGCCATCCTACTCACTACTCCAGCAAAGGAGTAGAGGTGTCTGATGATGGCACAATTACAGCCATTCTGTAGACAATTGTATTCCTCAAGGTTTCAGAGCAGGGGTCCTCAGTCCTGGTCCTGGAGGGGCTGGTGTGTGTCTACAGTTTTCAGTCCAGCTGGGCTCTTACTGGCTTAACTGGACCAGTTTAACAGCTTCACCCAGCTCTTCAGGTCCTGGTGCTATAAAGAGACCTTGAAATCCTGCAGAGAAACCAGCACTCCAGGACCAGGACTGGGGATCCATTGTTTCAAGTGACTTTTAAATAGTATATTTCTAAAATTATTCAATTCAAAAAGTGTATTCACTTTTGAAATCAAACCTACTGAGTCCCGTTCTGAAAGACTACAGTTAACATCCTGTTCATGCAGTTTTCATAGGGATCTTTAAACAGTTAGTGGAAAACTGAATATTATACTAACTATAACCTGAACTGTAGCCCATAGGCCAGTGGCATCCAGACCTGGTCCTGATCGTGGAGGAACACTGTATCCTCCAGCGTTTGCTCCCGCCGTGTTGTTTATCACAGGCTAACTGATTTCAGTTTGCTATTTAGAGCATATGTTTCAACTTGCTTTCAGTTCTTAAAGGGTCAAGCTGGTTTTGGAATTGATCTCAACCCTATATCAATTTCTGAGTTCCCCCCCATTTTGGTTCTGCTTCCCTGACATTTAACCATAGTGAGCCCTGAAGAAGGAACAAAATGCACACAAAATGAGGGATTGTTTGATACATTGTCCAAACCTTGAAGTGGGATATTTTCTCAAATTCCAGAATGAAGTCAGAAACAATTTTACCAAAATTCGTGGCCTGATAGTTATCTCTGCTGCCTCACAACTCCAGGGTCCTGGGCTTGATTCCAGCTTTGGGTCTCTGCCTGCGTGGAGTTTGCAGATGTTCTTCATGACCATGTGGGGTTTTCTCTGTGCGCAGTAATTCACACCAACCTCCCACATACTGACAAGGGTTAATGAATGATCATATGTGGAAGTGAAATGGACCAGAGTCTCACCAGATATGCTCTCTCAGTGCCACCCTGAGCT